TCTTGTGACAGATCCTAGGTGCATGATAGAGCAAGTTAAGCCGTGCAAACAGTTAAAAACTGTTATGTCACATTTACTTCCTATTATTCAAAGCAACGCCATCACATAGCAGAGCCGGACACTATGGAATGGGGATGTATATTTTATTTACATTGGGAGTTACACAGTACAGGGTATGGGTGTTTAATAGTAATATAAGAAACAGAATAATTGGGACAGGGATTCTATTCCCCTTTAAAGAAAACATAAAATATGTGTATTCTTAATGTATGTTTATCCCCCCTAATTATCAGAATCTTCCTCAAGTGATTTTGTGGGGGAGGGCAGAGGTTGGGTCACACCTAGGGGTGCTCAGGGGTCACACTTGGCAGTGCTTGGGGTGCGGGACTTACCATATGTGGTACTAGGAATCGAACATCGGTTATCCACGTGTAAGGCCTTAACCTCCATACTACCTGGCCATCTCTGAAACTTTCTCAAGTGTCTTTGAAAAGAGTTTTACTTGTGAGATTGAAATAGTTTATTCACTTACTTGTTAGTGAGCTGTAGTATTAGTTACTTTACTGCCGTAACAATAAAAATCAGAGGGGAGGGGCCCGAGTTTCTCATGTGATTACATGGTTGTGTTTCTAATTGTCAAGTGAATTTGCTCATGGACCTTATTCTCAACATGTACGGATTACCTCCCTGATTTTCATTTTTCTTATTCTTACTACCTCTTAGTTTTCCATCACTCATCTCTACAAGTTATTCTCAAATTTTTCCATCCAGTAGATAAACAAACCATGTCAGTGCAGCCTTTCAAATTTCTACACTAAATTTTTATAGCATTATCAACTTTTATTTTTGAAAAAATAAAGCTGAGTGTTCATATATATATGTATGTATATATAAACACACACATACACACACACACACACACATATATATATATATGTGTATATCTCACTGTCACTGTCACTGTTCTCCTGTTGTTCATTGATCATTGATTTGCTTGAGCAGGCCCAGTAACGTCTCCATTGTGAGACTTGTTACTGTGTTTGGCATATCAAATACATCACGGGGAGCTTGCCAGGCTTTGCCATGTGGGCGAGGTACTCTTCATAGCTTGCCGGGCTCTCCGACAGCGGCAGAGGAATTGAAACTTGGGTCAGCCGTATTGGCCGTGTGCAAGGCAAATGCCCTACTGCTGTGCTATCACTCCAGCCTATATATATGGGGTTTAAGTTATCCTTAATGTATCAGGATTTTATATAATGGTATATGGTGGTATATGGGTTGGAGTGATAGCACAGCGGTATATATATATATATATATATATATATATATATATATATATATCCTTAAGATCCTCAAGTTCATAGACCCTGCCCCCCAAACCTCATTAACGACCAGATAAAATCTTGATACATTAAGGATAACTTAAACCCCATTACAGTTTGATTTCAATATTTTCTCTTACAGGGAGCCCTCAGCTTCATTTAAGTCTTCCAGGTGATTCTCTCACTTCCTTGGTTATCACCCACTGTCATCACATTCAGTTAGCCCTTATTTGCCTTAGAGATTCGACTGAGTATCACCTTTTGCTCTTAGGTTTGTTGGACTTGCACACACAAAATCAGTGTTTGGCCCCCCTCCCCCCCCAACTTGAGTTTTCACAGAGTTCTACACAAATAATCCTTAAACAATTGGGGGTGGGGTGGGAGATGATGTCCACATGGTACCAGAGGACTCAGTTCTCTCTTGGCAACTGGCCAGTAGTTCATTGCTGGGGCACATGGATTTAGCACGACTCACGATTCCAGCCCTGCAGTGTCAGGACCACCACTGCAGTAGTTGGGGGCCTCCATGGCTATGTGTGATGTTTCTCAGGGGGACAAGTGCAACAGAGTCCACCTTTATTATCTTCCCAGTCCCAGAGTCATTGAACATATTTCCCCCCTTAGATTCCTCCCCTTAATTATAAAAGCACAAAAATTCCTACAGAAAGCTGAAAGTATATAGTTTAAAGAAAAAAAAATCAAATCTATAAGGTAGAGAGAGAGAGCACAACCAGCTGAGGGCATCTTTTGCATGTAGGAGGTTGAAGTTTGATCCCAGGCACTGCATGGTCCTCCTGAGTCCACTGGAAACTAGCCCAGAGCACTGCCAGGTGCGGCTCCCAGACAAAACAGGTTAATCACTGTCTCCTCTGCCTAAGAGAATGCAGTAAATGTTTTGGTAATAGTGTTTGTTTCATTACCATGTATGTATGGTAGGTTTATTTCATTTAACAATAAAGCCTAGAACTTTTTTCATAATTTAGCTCTTTTCCCTCACTCTAGGTTGTCTACCGAGCATCTGTCTCAGTTGACACCTTACTTCCAATGCAGTGCAATTCCTGTCTGCAAAAAAGCAATCAGTTTGCAGTGTTATGAATGTCAAACTTAATTGGAATATATTTTTATAACATAATTCCAAATAATTTAATGAACATCAAAAAGGAAAAAAGGTGATCACTGTAGTTAATGATTTAGTTAAAAAGTGGTAGTATTTTATTAATGCCAGAATATTTTGTTGTTAAATATTTTTGGGGGGAGTACTAGAAACATGGCAATGTATACGTTATGCTATAATTTTCTTTTCTTCTTTTTTTTTAACCTTCAGCAACTATTTGCCATAATGAAAGCAGTCATATTGTGCTTTAAATTTGATCACATTTTACTGCAACTCTGGTACTGATAATAGGCACCAGAGAATTATTTTAGTTTTTATATTTTATTTATTTATTTTTGCTTCTTTTAAAGACATTTAAGTCCTTTTTCTGATTTCCGTATGGTCCTTGTCACAACTGTATGGCTTTTAATCACTCATACATTCAGTGAGTTACTGAACTGTTGGAACCTTAATAACGTTCTAGTTTGTTTGGATGATCTTCCAGATAAAGTCCTGACAATCTCTCAGTATAATGGGAAGACAATCAAAATAAAAAATGTTCTAAGAGTTCAGGTAGTAGAGCATGCTGTTATTTTTCACATGATGTAAGGGTATTAAAATACCGACATTCTGACTTTCAATTGAGTTTGTGATGAAATCCAAGAAAAATGGAAAATTTGAATTATTCTACTGCCAGTGAGGAACTGTATATCATGAGCAGAAAGCAGACATATGTAACCAAGTCTTGTAGGCAATCTCAGGAATGCCAGATTGTCGTTCTTCTTTATGAATTTTCATGGAGTGCCTAAGGTATTATTCATTACACATGTCTTTTATATTTTCAATTAAAACAAGGAATTTTGCAAAATGTCAACTTCAGGGCAGTGTTTAAATACTTAATAATGATTTGCACTGATAAAACTGTTTTACATTTTTCAAGGTGCTTTCCTTTAAATTCTCTCATTTGTCTCACTAATCTTCTCAGGTCATCAAAATAATTGTTTTAATTGTCACATGTCCCAGCCTCCCTTTTTCCCTATTATTGTTACCCTTTTTTCCCCTCCCTCCCTCCCTTCTTTCCTTCCTTCCTTGGTTCCTTCCTTGGTCCCTTCCCTCCTTCCTTTGGCAAAATAAGAAAAAATGTTCTTATGTATTCTTCTAAGTTGTGAAGAGTAAATGAGCTGAACATTTGGGGCTTAATGCTTATGTTAGCCTCTTTTAAAAGTATTTCTAAAAGCTAGATGAGCTTATTAAATGATTTATGAGTAAGCAATGCAGATTGACTCCTTTAAAAGTAGAATGAGATATTGGGAAGAACACAGATTGGGAACTTGCTGCTTCTGAATTAGGTCGTTGGTCTTGTTATCTAACCTCTTTTGAACTTTATTTAAAGTGAACTAATCTTTATGAACTTAATTTTCTTCATGTATAAAATATGCCTAATAATCTGCTCCCATGTCTTGCAAGGTGCTAGCCAAATGAGTTCCATCTAATACTCTGAGCCCTGCCGGAAGTGATCCCTGAGCACAGAGCCAGGAATAAGCCCTGAGTACCTCTGGATGTGACTCCAAAATAAAAACCAAACAAATGTACTTTCTCATTTTCCTCCCTCCCATATCTTTTCTACCTTGTTTTTTCTTTTACCACATCATTTTTTTTATGGGAAAAGTGAGGAGTACTTGACTGCAAAACATTAAGATGTGATCATTTTATTTTATTTTTATTTATTTATTTATTTCGCTTTTTGGGTCACACCCGGCGATGCTCAGGGGTTACTCCTGGCTCATGCACTCAGGAATTACTCCTGGCGGTGCTCAGGGGACCATAAGGGATGCTGGGAATTGAACCTGTGTCGGCCATGTTGGCTGTGTGCAAGGCAAACGCTCTACCCGCTGTGCTATCTTGCTCCAGCCCCCTGATCATTTTATTTTTTAAAAAATCAAATCATTTTTCAAATAATTGTGCATGAGATTGGGATCCAAGTTCCTGTCTCTCTTGTCATACTTAATGCTTTTATCTTTATTTTAAAATGTGTGTTTTTGTCAATGTGATTTACAGTATTGTTAGTGATAGGGTTTCATGTGTACCATAACCCACACTGAATGTCCATTTCTCTCCACCATCACCTGAGGTTCTTCCATGCTCTCCGCTCAGGCCTTTCCACTTTTCCTTCTCTTCTCTCTCTCCAACATGAGAAACTCACTTCTAAAATCAGTTAACAGATTTCTTTAGTTTTAGTACTTTCATTAAAAGGCCCTCCCGTTGATCATCGATTTGCTCGAGCGGGCCCAGTAACGTCTCCATTGGAGACTTTGTTGTTACTGTGTCTGGCATATCGAATACTCTAGGTAGCTTGCTGGGCTCTCCGAGAGGGGCGGAGGAATCGAACTCGGGTCGGCCACGTTGGCTGCGTGCAAGGCTAACGCTCTACTGCTGTGCCATTATTACCTAATAATACTTTCTTACAGCCCACATATGAGAGAGGTCAATTTGTATTTGTCCTTCTCATTTCTACCGTCATTGAGCCCTGAAAAATTTACAAGTGAAATGTGAAAACCACTAATGTAGTCCAACTCTCTTTACAGATGAGGAAACTGAATTTGAGAGAACTTGAGTTCCTGGCCTAATCTTGCAAAGCTGGTAAGTGGCACTCGTAACACTAAAACTTCATCTTTTCCTAAGTCAAACGTAGCAGAAAAAGTAAACAATGTCTTAGAACATTCTGAGCAAAAGAAAAAATTAAGGAATTAAGCTAGATATTGGAGTTAGGAAATTTTTGTTAAGAGAAGAGAAGGACGGGTCAAGAATATATATGCTCAGGGATAATCATTACAGAAAATTTCAAACATAGATTTAGAAATAATTGAAAGAAGGTGTCAGAATTCTTGGGCTGGAGCGATAGCACAATGGGTAGGTCATTTGCCTTGCATGCTGCTGACCTGGTGGACCTGAGTTCAATTCCTCTGCCCCTCTCAGAGAGCCCGGCAAGCTACCAAGAGTACCTCGCCCGCATGGTAAAGCCTGGCAAGCTACCCTTGACGTATTCAATATGCCAAACACAGTAACAAGAAGTCTCACAGTCTCTACTGTTACTGGGCCCGCTCAAGCAAATTGATGAATAATGGGAGGACAGTGACAGTGATGGTCAAAATTCTTCTTAAAAAGATTACCTTGGAAGGAAGCAAGATCTTAATGTATATTCTACTGAGTATATTCCACAGGGATAGAAGGGAATCAGATTTGATAATAAAACTTTAAGAAAGAGTTATTATATATTGCTTTCTCTAAGTTGAAGATTAATCAGGGTCACCAGCTTTAATTACTGAGGAGGCATTAATGCACAAATTTTACATTAATATGGAGAGGTAGCTTTGTGAGCTATGAAGGTAGCATATTCATTTATCCCATATTTGTCAAAAATTGTGTCACTTGAAAAATTTATTTAGAAAATTCTCTATATTCAGCATAAGTTGGGAAGTTATAAAAAAGAGTGAATGAATGAAAAATGGAATCATTTCTTTACAAGTTCTTAAATTTAGTATCAAGCAAGTATATTTATAAAAGCTAGAAAATTATATTGCAATGAGTTAAGATATGGTCTTGTAATTGTAATTTGTACTATTTTTGTGGTTTGTGTTTACCTGTCATTTTAAGGAAGATCAGAGGTCAAAATTATAAATAATTATAACATAAATAAAAAGCCATTGTTTAAGGCATTTTTAAAAAGAAACTCAGTAATGCTGTTTTGTTGTTTGTTAAGAGAATGCTATAAAGGTGTTATAGATATGCTATGAGCATGTGTGCATGTGAGTTTACATAATTAGAGAAAAAGGGAGAATATGCACAAAAGTGCTTGTGTGTTTGTGTGTGCGTGCGTGTGTCTGATAATAAAACCCTGTCTCTAGGCATTGTCAGGTACAAAGGTCCATCATTTAAGTCTCAGAACTAAATAAACATATAACGCTATGATTATTTTATTGAACTTTCTTATTTTATGACCCACTAATGGCTCATGGTTCAGTTATATTGATAAACAGTGGAAACCTACAGCTTCAATTAGATTATTTATTTATTGCTTGTATTTTAAAGCCCCAAGAAGAAAGAGCCCAGTTCCCAGTCTTATTTTTATTTACAAAACATTATAAACTATAATCTTATAGGGAAGTTAAGTACCTCTAACTAGCAATTTGTCAGTGACTTTCTAATTCAAAAAGTTAAACCTCTTAACTTGCATATGTAGCTTACTATCAATAGTTAGTATTAAACGTAAGCCTATTTTTTAAATACTTGTTACTGAATTCATAAAATGTAGCTAGCATAATGAACATAATGAATAGCATAATTAATAGATAACATAATGAAGCATAATTTTAAAAATTATTTTTGATTTTTGTTATATACTAATTCATTGAGGACTTTTTTTTTGAGAATTCAGATGGTGGGAATTCCCTTCTGGGTCATTCTGTAAGCACCTTCAGGGAGCTTGCTTCCTAGAATTCGTGTGCAAGAGAGAGGGCTTCATCTATGCTGTGCACACCACCTTAATCCTCCCAAAATTGTCAGCCTGATATGTTCCTTCCCCTTCTAGAAGGTAGTAGGTGGGTTGTGAGATCAAGATGTAGTTCCCTTTACAAGAAAAGAAACATCAAGGGTGAAAGGGCCTCTCACGCCAAACAATAAATATGTTTCTAATATTTGTGAACAAATTCAGTTTGAAAACTGGGGATCGAAGTTTTATTTCATGTAGCAGTTGATAATTTGACTCATGTATCTATTTTAAGAATAAAACTATAGAGTTAATATTTAGGATTAGATTGTGCGACCCCCCCTCAATCTGTTTTCATCAGCATCACGTTGTTTCACTGTCACCACTAGGTTCGTAAACTGGAAAGCATTTGCCCTTAGCTTTAAGTGGCTTCAATATTAGTTTTTCAGATCATCCTGAACTTTCGTAGAAAACTGAATGATGTGTGTATGTGGTTCCCGAGATCCAAGTCTAGGTTTTAAAAGGATGCTTTAATTGGATCATGGACTTTCAGTGTTAAAATGTTTATTGAAATCTCATTGTGGGACCGGAGAGTATCATGCTGAGGGAAATGAGTTAGGAGGAGAGGGACAGATATAAAATGACTGCACTCATTTGTGGGATGTTAAAAAATATTGGTATGAAACTAAAATCCAAGGCCTGGGAAAACAGGGACCAGGAGGACTGGTTGGAAGCATGCCACAAGTGTGTGTGAGGCAAAGGGAAGTTAAGATAAAGAAGGAACCAGTATGACAATAATAATTAGAAACGATCATTCTGGAGAGAGAGCAGGAGCAAGAGAGCAAGAGAGAACAAACAAGCGAGCGAGCGAGAGAAAGAGAGAAAGAGAGAGAGAGAGAGAGAGAGAGAGAGAGAGAGAGAGAGAGAGAGAGTAAAAGTTACTGCCACAAAGTCAGGCAGGGAGGGGTGGGGGTCAGTAGGGAAACTGAGACCATTGGTGGTGGGAAATGTACACTGATGAAGGGATGGGTATGAAAAGAAAAATCTCATTGTGGAGGATAAAAAAAAGCTTACTTGTTAGAAGTCTATATTTAAAATCAAATTCTTCAAGTCTCCCTATATGTACAGAAATTGCAGATCTGTTCATATTTAGGTGAGCTAATTTGGAAAAAAAAAGATATAAAATAAAAGAGCAATAGATGGCCAAGCAAGAAACACCTACTTTCTAAGTATGTAAAGTTTAAAATATTATCTATAACCAAGGTAAATATGAGCCAAAACTAGTGTCCATTATTCTGCATGACCTTGCATGTCTTGTTGGGTTTTAAGTACATCTGGATGGGCCCAGGACTTACTCCTGGCTCTGTGCTCAGGAATTACTCCTGGTGGTACTTACAGGACCAATTTTTTTTTACAGTTATAAAGATTTCATATTTGAGTTTCAGTCATGCAATGATACAAACATCCATCCCTCCACCAGTGCACATTCTTCATCACCAATATCCCCAGTATTCTCTTCCCATTTCAATCCTTCCCCTGCCTCTATGGCAGACAATTTCCCCCATACTCTCTCTCTACTTTTGGGCATTATGGTCTGAAATACAGTTACTGAGAGGTTATCATGTTTGGTCCTTTATCTACTTTCAGCATACTTCTCCTACCCCGAACAATTCCTCCAACCATCATTGACTTAGTGATCCCTTCTTGATTCCAGCTGCCTTCTCCCCCAGCTCATGAGGCAGGCTTCCAACTATGGGGCAATATTCCTGGCCCTTGTGTCTACTGTTCTTGGGTGTCTGTCTCATATTTTGTTATTTCATATTTCACAAATGAGTTCAGTCTATCTATGTCTGTCCCTCTCTTTCTGACTCATTTCACTTAGCATGACACTCTCCATGTCCATCCACTTATAAGAAAATTTCATGACTTCATCTCTTAACAGCTGCATAGTATTCCATCATGTAAATGTACTAAAGTTTCTTTAACCAGTCAATCTATTCTCATTCTTGTGTACTCGGGTGTTTCCAGATTCTGGCTATTGTGAACAGTGCTGCAATGAACATATAGGTGCAGATGTCATTTCTACTGTGCTTTTTTGTGTGCAAGAAATTTAATTGCGCTTAGCTCCATGCAAGGCTAATACCTTCGAATTTGCATTTTATAGAATATTATTTTCATCATTATAAAATTATTAAAATAAGCTTATACAAGTATATATTGGAATTTAAACTACTTGGCACTGGAGAGATACTACAGAGTGTAGGGCACTTGCCTTGCATGTGGATGGCCTGGGTTTGATCCCTGGCACAAGAGAGGATCCTCGAGAGTAGCTAGGCATGAACCCTGAGCACAGAGAAAGGAGTTAGCTCCCAGCACCGTCAGGTGTGGCAAAAAGCATTTAAAAAAATTGGAATTTAAATGATTCTAAGGACAAAGTATGAAAACCTTTGAAGGGAACTTATAAACATAAAAATAGACATAAGAACTATATAATGCTTTTATAAGATTCTGAAATTCTAAGATGATTTGCTATTTGGATTTTAGCATATAGAACTTATATAATGCATATTTAAACAAATATTTGTATTTTTGGGGGGAGGCGTTCTAACACCCATCCCTTCACCAGGAATTTCCCACCACTACAAATCTTATTTCAATGAACATAGTGAAATCAGTAGCAATTGGTATTGTATCTGGGAGCACAAGAGCTATGAGTCCACGTTATAAAGAATTTTAAGAAGTGTCTTGTTAGATTACATTCAGGAGTTTCCAAATATAGTGACCTATGCATTTTGGCAGCACTGTAGCACTGTAGCACTGTCCTCCCGTTGTTCATTGATTTGCTTGAGTGGGCCCAGTAACGTCTCCATTGTGAGACTTATTGTTACTGTGTTTGGCATATTGGATACGTCACAGGTAGCTTGCCAGGCTTTGCCATGCGGGCGAAATACTCTAGGTAGCTTGCCAGGTTCTTTGAGAGGGGCAGAGGATTGAGCCCGGGTCAGCCAGGTCCGCCTTGTGCAAGGCAAATGCCCTACCTGCTATGCTATCGCTCCAGAACCCTTTGCTATCGCTCCAGTCCCTATATTAGAAGAATTTAGGTTATAATGTTGGTTTCACATATAGATGTCTTTTCACATTAGTGAACCTTCTT